ATCCATTGACCAACACAGAGTTTAGGGATGTAGTAAACTCGCTGGATGTAGCCGGGGTTGTCAGTGCAGTCGGCGGTGGTGCCGTGGGAGGCACGCCAAGCAAGAAGAAGAAGGCCGGGATTGCAGAGGAAGGCAGAATCGGAGCATGCGTGAGAGAGATGGATTTGTTGACAGCAGTGGCAGATGTAGGGCCTATCCTGACAAGGCTTTTTGATGCTTAAATATGGCATGACTTCGTACGGTATACCGGGTGACTTTTTCTCTCTTTTTGTAAGTGTTTGATTGGATGGTCTATGGCCGCTCTGGGGGGTTCACATATGGAGTTGGGGTAGTATTCGGCCTGTATTTTTTTCCCCTATTTTTTCTCTCGTAATTGTTTTCGGCGGGCGAGCACTTCATGCTGGAGGGTTTCGATGATTGTGATGGATTTTCCTTTTATGGTGTGTTTTGGGTACTTGTATGATGGTGTTTTTGTGAAATGATTAGTGAGGATGTGGTTAAAAGGCGGGTTTCTTTTATTTATATCTAGTAACTCATGTACTGTAACTACGCTAAAGAAGAGTAATGAATCTTTAAAAAGCAGTACGTACGTATTCAGCGTATTGGAACATTTGACTTATATAGTAGGTCGCCGTCATCTAAAGTATCTACATAATAGAGGTTTGTCCCACCAATGGGTGCGCTCAAACAAGCCCAGAGACAAAATATGCATTGTCGCTCCCAAATACCTAAAAGGAAGGCAGACTATAAAATAAACTTTACTCCGATGCGGGGAATCGAACCCCGATCTGCTCGGATCAGCTCTTGTTAGAAGGACTTGAAAGCGAGCGATGCTAACCGTTACACCACATCGGATTATTGTGACAGGCTTTAACTTTTTATTAAGAGGATTTAAACAGTCCTTGGCAACACGTGGACCCTGTCATCGCCAACACCAACCTCAACCCATCGACCATGGATCCTAGTATGTATTGTACCTACAGTTTCTGCATTGCTAACCACCCAAGAAGTTTTCTATTCCACATCCCTAGATTATCTCAGTATTCTTCGGTCTTCCTTCGATATGCTTCATGAGCCCTCTCTTTCTGTTTTCATCATAGCCCATAGCCAGGCGAGACCTCTAGTGAACCCAGCAGAAAGGCCGCCGGTGTTGCTGGGGTAGTTCGAGCGATGCTACCCTTCCGACTTTGACAGCGAGCGATATTTCCAGGTTCAAGCAGTGGCCTCTACAGGCAATTTGCGGACATATAGACGCGTTGCTGTTGAGTGCGGGCTGCGCGCGTAGGGCTGCAGTTTCCCAGCCACCAACCAATAGTGCTGGATCAATAACCGCGGCTGGTGAGTCACCGCGTCTGGCAAACATCTTCTACCTACATGATAGCCCTGTTTAAATTTTTCATCGTTGATAGGGGGACAAAATAAGAGAGTAAAGGCGATCCGGAATAATACATACTGCCTTAGCAATATCAGCATTGCTACGCGAACACCGTGGGAAACAAGCATCACTCCTAGCCTACTACCTCTATTCGTTTCGAGATGTCAGACGCTGAGACTAGCTACTCGCCCGACCCCGAAGACCCTGCTCGCCACTTCCTCAAAGCTTATCCAGTGGGTAAATGGTCCATCATGAACTATTTAAATGCAAACCGCGAGCTCTTGGGTACCAAAAATGGATTCTCAATTCTCTGTGATTCCTGGCTCCGAGAATTGGCACGCGTTATAGATGATACCGCGGTCTCGGATCGAAAACGGAAGGCTGCCACCAAGCTTCTTAATAGATATAAAGTTGCTGTGAGATTTTCCTTTGATACATGCTACAATTATTAGTTACATCCCACCCTAGGACGTATAAGTCCTATTTGATCCTTCTATTTCCTATCAGCACCCAGGCTCACCTCTTGCTTGTCTTTACTTTGATCTCCTTGTTTCCCTACCACTAGTTGTCGGTGCATTAGATGGCTCGTCAGAGTCAACTTGATGTTGAGGGTACGTCCTGATCCGGCACTAGTCTCACCAGGGCACAGATGACTTCCGGGTCGGTTTGCTGCTCAAGGCCTGTTGCTTGCTCATCAAGGCAAATAACGTTGGCTGACCTGGTGGGAGAGGAGTGGGAGCAGAGAGAGGGGTGAAAGGCGGGGCAGGGCAGAGCCTAAATGAACACTTACACTAATTAATTATGTAGGGGGAAGATCACCGTGCAGCCCGTGTGGCCTATGATCTCGCGAAGATTGAAAAAAGCGGGCAGCCTCAAATCGTTATTACGGGTAGTAATACGTTCACTAATGCCACCGTCTCTTTGAATGCATCCATACCACCTTCCTCCTCCCCCGAACCAGGACCAGCATTCAGCACTCGAAAACGGAAACGGGAGGGTAAAAGGCCTGCCGCAGCTCCAGGGTACATACACACACAAAACACAATACTTTCTTAAGTCAGCTAACTCTTCCATCAGATTTATCAAGCATTTCGCCGAATCATTCAGGTGCATGGACAAATCCCAAAAATGGCTTCTCCCCTCCGGTATCTGTGTCGAGGACCAGCTCTATAACTGCTTCAAGAATGCTCCTAAGGAGTGCGCAGTGCACTCTTGGGTAATTGATATACGTGATACTTCAGTACAGGGTTGCTTTCCTGAAGAAAAGGACTGGGAAGCCATCTGCGCTGCGGTACCACCAATGCCAGATCCAAATCTGAGTTTCGTGCGCTCCATGCTGCAGTTTGCCACAGTGGGTGTCCCCAGTCCTCCAGCCACACTAAACGCTAACTATCACAGTTAAGAACCGCCGATCAACTGCGTGATTATTTAGACATTACTCCAGCCTTTAAACCAGAGGAGTTACCAAATCTTACCCCGGAGGAGCGCCTTGGACGCCGCTGGGTCAATACCGTTCTTCGCTGCTGGTATATTTATTCTTCCCGTAGATGGAACCGTGGCGGATTCTAGCTAACGGTCCCAAAAGGTCAGATCTTTGTCAAACACCCAATGTATTCGAACAGAATCATAGAGAGTTCTGGTATATAAGTAACTTCTGGGGGACCGTATTTGACCAATGCATGTCTACTATCCCAGGTAGCTACATGAGCCGGTACCTTTCTAGCTCCTCCCTCCCAAATACAGTTAATTAACTCTCTCAGCGGAGAGTCCAAATCCTTATGCACAACCGACCGAAAGAATCTGCACCCAGAACACAAGAAACGCAAACGTATTGGCCACCTTTACGACGGAATCCTTCAAATAAACGGCCACGAGGTTGGAGTTGCAGAACATGCACGATACTTTGCAGGCGAGAAGGAAAAGAAATGGGTCGCGGACACACTAAAAGTTGTTAAGGTCCTCCATGACATGTTGTACCATCTACAAATGCACGTTCACCCAGACTCGCCTAGTGGGCTGGGCGGACTTCATGTTGTAGGAATGGTTACGGCTGGTAAGTCTACCTCCCCTCGCACGTAGGTGAATCTAACTAATCAACTCGTGAAAGGATGGCGATGTCAGTTCCTTCGCATGGTCTATGGGAAGGGCTATATATGTCTTCTTTCCACAGACGACGTACGTAAAATCCCTACCAGCGTTGAGAACATCTCGTCTCTCCTAGAACTGTTGGGATTTCTCTGGAAAACTCGAGTCCGCCCCCTTCTTCATCATGCGTGAATAATCACCACTAACAGTTATCACAGGAAATGTTGAACCGTTGTGAAGCTACCATCAATCCAATCTTGACGCCCGAGCAGCTTGCAGAGAGGCTGATGAAACCTTCAAGCCCAGCATTAGTGCCGCCAAAATCTACGTTAATGATTCCACGGTCTGTGGAAACCGATGATGGGATTACTACCTGTAAGGGTTTGAATAACGGAAATGATACGGAGGAGGAAACAGAAGCCGAATAAAGGTTCAGAAGATGTGTAGTATGTGCGGGGGGGGTTACTGCATATGGCCCTAATTTAGTCCAATGAGTTATATAGCTCATCGGACAGTCCTGCCGCTAGCGAATTTTCTGGATCTAGGTCTACGCTCACCATGTGTGAAACTAAAACTATTAATGAGCTATCTTATACCAATGATATGGGGTGATTTCGAGGCTGGTGTAAATATTCGACTTGATTGCCATGGGCTGTATGTGGTCTGCAGAACGAGCGACGAGTTTACAAGAGTTTAGGCATGAGTCTAGCCATGGGCCATACGCCGCCCAGAACATCCTAATATGGCCATCCGAATTGCAATCATTGACCCTAACCCCAAGTCTTTTGTTTGTTTAACTCAGTAATTATCCTAACCTTGGGTATACGTCCGCAAAGTTTTGGAACCCTGTAAAAACGTCCGCGATTGCAACAACCAAAATATTTTGATCCTCTTCCTCAAAAGATGGTCATAAAAGTGTTGTGATATACAGCAGTATGCAAATATCTTCTCTTTGTAGTCATTCTTATCCGGTTGTTGATATCATGATTTTAAACTCATGGGCTTCGAGACTGGGGGTGCCAAAACTTTGCGGACGCGGCTGTACATGTATGTATGTTAGTATGAGCGCCTCTTGGGAGCTTCAATCCTTTTCTTTTATTTTCTTTTTTATGATCCAAACAAGTACATGAATGCCACAATATAATGATCCCCCTTAATCGGAGGGATATTATATATATTTGAACATGTCCTAGGAGCAAGCAAATATCTCTACGAAAGCCCCTACCATTACCCGCCCGCCCCAATTAAATTTCAAGGGAACCTATATTAATCCCGCGCTCCCTAAACACATCGGTACCTTGTCAAACAACTCTCAGTTCCCTGGTAAAGGTGAATACTCGCTTAAACGCTGAAAATAGTAATTCATAAGTCCTGCCTGCAGGTTTCAGCGCAATGTACGTACATGTATCGCGATTCCAGGAATGGTAGCACCGGAAATCCGTTCAAGCATTGAACAAAACTACATGCTTACCAGCACCGAGCATCTATCCTTCTGAATGATCAGTGATCTTTTAACTCTCGCTATTCATGATATCATGTACTCCGATGCGGGGAATCGAACCCCGATCTGCTCGGCTCATATTTGAAAGCGAGCGATGCTAACCGTTACACCACATCGGATTGTTGGTATTGAAAGCTAAATTTTCCTTCACGAGTCTAGATTATTTAGCTCCTCGAATTGGGTCTAGTTTGACGCTCATAGACTGTCACTCGATGGTAGATCGACTCCAAAATCGGTAACGCGCATGATGACGAAAGCAACCCTTGGAATACTCCATGTAGGTACAGCACCCTACCAAAATTCGTGGGAAGTCATCCATTTTACACCAAAACCTGGTCCAAATGCAACCACCACCCACAACATAATTGCGATCAACAATGAATAAGGCTTTAGGGGATGAAATATCGGCTATTAAGTTTAATACATCCAAAAGGGCACTATCTCAACTCAGATGTGGAACAAAGTACAGGAGCTAGAAGTAGAGCAATCTGGAGATTCGGCTACATCCCATACAAATATGTGGTCTTGGCGTATTTTCTGCAACTCAACGGACCAAAACCAATACAGCTCATGCTAGAAATGTAATGTTGTAATTTTGAGCTGATAGAGCGATTATCCATATACAAAATATATAGTCCTCTAATTCTCAGGTAATATCCATCAAAACTGGTGGTTGAGGGCCGGGTTGAAAAGTGGCATTTTTGGTGCAAAATGGATGACTTCCCACGAATTTTGGTAGGGTGCTGTACATAGTTTCAACGGGCACTTGTTCCTCTTGTAGCTACTGAAAGAGGGCCATCAGCAAGAAGATATGAGTAAAGAGAATCTTAATCCCTCAAAATGATGGATAGTACATGTATATATGCCGACGCGACCCTCACTCCTGAATTATATGTAACACCCACCCAAAGGCTCTGGGAAACGGAGATATCCCCTACATGAGTATAGTACATCCTCTGCAAAAAATTGTTAGCTCTATGAAGTATGTATGCATAAATATAAGTAAACTTGTTGCAGAATATTGAAAATTAGACGATCACAAAAGATCACTCGCATAAACCCAACTACAAAATTAACAATTTGTATTCGGATATTAATTATTATATTCCCCCCCCGACCCTAGAGTATTTTCGGTAATGTCTAATACAATCCGAGAATCTAAAAGAATATACCAATACTAAAATTCGAAAGCATCAACGTCATAACCTTTGCCATGCATTTCACGGTCCCTGTTTTCTGTACATGCATGCCACAGCGCCATAATAAAAGAGAGAACCGTAACGATCCAATTAAGGATCCCTCTTGACCCATGAAATAGTACACGGTGGTGTAGGTAGTGCAATCATGGAGGAGTAATCCGGCTTAGGCACGCCACATCCCTCGGGGTAGCCCAATTCAAAATTCCTGATAAAGGTGGCCATGATGGAACAAAGTTGGACGTTGGCAAACTGTTCACCGATACACCTGTGTCTTCCGGCACCGAATGGGAGGTATGGAGACGCAGTTCCCTTTGAAACCATTCCGAAACCGAAGTCGATCTTTTCACCTTCCTCCTCGGTCTTCTGGCCTTCCCATCGAGAAACGTCGAACGTGTGGGGGTTCTTGAAATACTTCTCATCCATGGCAGAGACACCGGGAGCGCCAAGAATATAGTGGCCCTTGGGGATAACGTAGTTGGTACCGTCTACGTGCATAGGGGCCTTGACTTTGCGCATGATGGAATGAAGTGGGGGGTGGGTACGAAGAGTCTCGCGGATAGTATTGTTAAGAACAGTGCACTCAGATAGCCTCTCATATGAGAGAGGCTCAATGCCGCCTTTTCCATTCCCAAAAACGCGGACTTGTTCATCATAAAGATCCTTGACGAGCTTCGGCTGATCGGCGACGTGGAGAAGCATCCAAGTAATAGTAGCCATAGAAGTGTGCTGTCCAGCCATAAGAAGGGCGATCATCATGTGTGCAACATTGCGGTCAGTGACAGGGGTTCCGTCTTTGTAAGTGCGTCCCATCAAGTTCCAAATCATGTCGGAGTGGTCGACACCACTAGCTTCTTCCTTGCGGCGCTTCTCGATGATGCTCATGTAAAATTTGGCCATAGTGCGCTGTGCATGGTCACGACGTTTGTTGGATGGGAAAGGGAACCAAGGGAAGAGGAAGTTCATTGGTGTAAAGCCCATATCGAGATCGTGGAACAACTTGGCGAAGGAGCCATCCAGAGCATCGCGAACCTCTTTACCCTGGAGGGAACGAGCAGCAGTGAATATGGTAAGTTCCGGAATAATCGCAGAAAGAGAAACAGTTCCCTTAGGACCTTTGAAGAATTTTGATTTCTTAGCATAGTCTTCAACTTGCTCCACAATCAAGGGGACGTATGATTTGAAGGTTTCCGCGGTAAGACCGAATTTCATGAACTAGACAAAATTATCAATACAATCCTGCAGCTCAATTGACCATGTCTACGCACCCTCTTCTGCTCCATGAGAACATTGTTAGGAACATCGTAGACGACGCCGTCACCAAAGACGGGGGTGGTGAGATGGGTATAGGCCTCCTCGGCGCTAACTTCTGAAAGTTTTCCATTAAACACAAAGTCGTTTCCTTTGGGCCCCAAACAAGCAGTCATCTTCCTTCCGAGCATAACATAGGTGAAAACATCGCCATACTATTATGTGTTAGTCTTCGAATCGGATATGGAGAAGCCGAGATGACATACTTGTTCCTGGCAAGAGTTGAAGAACGCATACGGGTCCATTCCATACCGGACAGTGCTTCCAAAGAACGGAAAGTAATGAAATACCACCGGAGGCTTCGTCGGGTCTTTGAATAAGAGCTGGTTCAAAACATTGATAATGACACTCAGGACGATGAACGTCAACACACCCACAATCACGACAACGGGGGTTCCCAGCTTCTGAAGCTCGGCGTAGTAGGGCCCTAAAGGCTCCAAAAGTGTAGCTAATAAACCCATTATGCCGTCAAACCTTCAGGTATCCAAGAAGATTGATGGAATTGATGAAGGAAATGGGGGGAGGGAAGGGGAGGGAAGGGGGGAGAAGGACACGATAATAAGTACAGATAGGAGACGCGCCTAACTACCGTCCACAAAATAGGGGAGAGGTTTTTTCCCCCTCCCAAGGCCAGCCAGCAGGGATCCTAAACTGTAGACTGATTTATGATTTATGAGATTAGCGTTTACTTTCTTCCAACCTTCTCTATTGTCTCTGGATCATCCTGTTCGGCTGCCCCTTTCGCCGGACAATGGCGTGTTGCCAGTTTCGTATTCGCTCTCGGAACGCGGGTGTGCACTACCCTAGCTGCATGAGGATGTCTAGGAACGACTCCGAACGAGCCTCACCCTACTGTTGCTTGGTATTGGATGGACCGTCCGCTGTCGTTCGATCACAGCCTATAGGGAAGGGGTAATTAGTACTAGTAATGATTGAAGCCTGAGTCTCCTCTCGTACCATTATCATGAATTCCGGTGTACTGTATAATACGGATCTGTACGAATACGCAAACACTGGAAGGGTTTGTAGGCGTTGCTATGTCTGTAATTTATCCGGCATAAAAGAAACGTAGGTACCTCAGGGGCACAACGATTCATCGTACGGAAATAAGATAGGTAAGATACAATCATACAGAACAGCTCACACACAACCTGCTTCACCCCCACTCACTCACTGTCTCTACCCTAGGATAAACCGACATGATATATTGCCTTGCTTACTTGGCTACACTATCGACGACCGTGACATTTACAACGACCATGGTTACGTGTATATATCTATATATGTACCCAGGGGTGCCAGAAAGTGATGCAACTTTTAACCTAGCAACGCGGAAAGGCACTCAGAATTTCAATTTTTAACACAACACAATGCTTAGGCAGGATGTATATTTTAGCTATACACATGATATATGAGTCTCTAGAATAGAGTCTGCATTTTTCCAGGTCATTCATTTGGGGTTTTTAGCCTGAAAAAGGACAACTTGTGACAAGAGACGCGATTCGTATTAACTCGAACCATAACTATCATCTCTAGCTTCTAAATTACTATAGATTCGCTCCGCATTCTGTTAGCTACAGTACCAAAAAAGGGGATGTAATACGTACTGTATCAATACGGAATTGTTTAAAACTTCCGAATTAAATCGGAATTCTAAATATTATACCGTAGCAATACCGTAGCAATACCGTAGCAATACCGTAGTTTTGCAGTATTTTGCTAGGTGCGGTACTGGATCCACCCGCTTTTTTGGTACTGTAGTCTGGTTATTGGACTATTTGATCGTTGCATCACTTTCCAGCACCTCCGGGTACATGCATGCATGTATATATACATTTTACGAAGAGTTCGAAACTAAACTCCGCATTGATAGTATCGAGCAACGGGAATGTGAAGCTAGCAAGTACTCCTATGATTGTCTCGGGATATATTTCTTGATCGTAATCGCATGTAAACGCCACCCTGTCCATTTGAGTAATTCGCTTTCGTATTGGAGAATATTAATCCGTCTGCGCATGTATCCAGCGGTGGCTGTCAATTGAGAAGTATAATACTAGTACATGTACATGTAGGTAGGTATTGTAATTCATGTATACCTAGGTATGGACGTCGGTGATAAATATAATCTGGCCCAATTTTGTTCTAGATATTTGCCGCATACTAAAGATATGTATACACTTGTGAGCGTTGGAGTTACATGGAGTATGTAGCTTGATTGAAATTATATTTATAGCATGTAAGGTAACACAAATTTGATCTGTTTATTTGTTTGTTTAACTATTTATTTATTCCCCATACTCTTGGACTTTCCCCCAACAGCACCACCGTAACTCCTCCTCTTGCTTATGAATATACAGTTAAAAATACCGAACTCTTCTCTGTTTCCTTTCCTTCATATAGCGCGGAAAAGTGTTCGATAGATGGAGCCTGATATCCATCATAACCCCGCCCACAACAAAACTGCAATCCCTCAAAGAGTGACCTCCCTATCACTCACACATAGGTATAAGGTAACAGTAAAAGACAAAAGTTGGTCGCGGTTGTTGGGAAGAGAAGGGAAGAGTATAGTATAGACCCCCCACAGAAGAAAAAATATTCAACAGCTTATATGA